CTAAACATCTTTGCACACGGGCCCAGTGCATGAGATTCCCTAGGTTACAAGGTAGAACTTTTGGGTAATAGAGTATGTGTCTCATCTTTGTTCTTCATTCTCTCCCTTATATTTGCTAGCAAGTTTTTCTTTCTTTTTTCTAAAGAATTTTAATGTCTGTACCTTTGTTCCTGTTTTTCTAATTTGCAATCATGTTGTTAATCTTTTTGTGTTCCTATAACATATTATCAGTACTAATTCTAGCTTCTACCTCTGTATATCTATCACCTTCTTCCTGTAATTAAGAATTGTTTCCTCTCCAAGGAGTAATGTTTTTTTTTTGGTTTATTATTCAAGTAGGATATCTATTTGGAACATTTTGAGTGTGTACAAAACAAAGCATATATTTGATTAATAGAGGGCCAGGGACAAGCTTCTTTCTGTGAGGCACTATGGGAATGAGGACTGTGGGCCTTTGAGTCAGACCAAATCCTCAAGCTGCCACTTGTTGGCTTTGTGTTCTTGGGAAAGTTAGTTAACTTCTTCTGTGCTTTAGTTTCCTTATCTGTCAAAATGTGGGAAACAATTATACCTACTTATAGGGTTATTGTATATATTACATGCAACAATCTATCAGTTTGATTAAAAGAGATTTATAAACTTGGTCTTCAGGCAGGGAGAGGAAGAAGACAGGCATTCAGAATGCGTTTAGATTGTGTAGTGAGGACACATACAATGAGCTTATATCCAGTGTTCATACTGAGCCTAAACACTGTCTAGCCCTCCTTGTGGGTGGCTGGATAGGGTAGGCAGTGAGATGCTGCCTGTGGCCACAGAATGTAGTAAAGTGTACTGGCTCATTTAAGAATCAAAACCACGACCCTGCTTTCACGCGCTATGAAACTGAGTTCAGTGGCCAAAATGACATGAAAAAGGAGAAAGTGAATAGGATTAAGAATGCTGTCAAAGCAAACAGGAAGGCAAGAAGACACCTCAGGACAACTCAAATTAACGAGCTGCTCTAAATGGCATTCTCTCTTTGTGCAATTCATGTACAGGAGAGTTGGATGGGACAGGAAACCATTCCTGGTCATCAAAAATCCCCATTCAAATTTCCCTTATCCTCCAGGCTCTCCATGTATAATTTCAGACTTTGTCACCTAAATCTCTTAGTTCTAGGAAATAAGTTTCCCAAAGCCAGATACTTAATTATGTATGCAACACTGCAAGGCCAAAACCTCATCATATAACTAGGGAACTGAGAAGTGTTTATCATAACCCCCTTCCCACCCCTGCCCTGAATTAATGTTATTAATGTTCATTTCCACTTGTGTGCTAGTAAACCCCTTTGTGAAGGTACTGATTTTTGGACTGAGTCTCTTACTCCCACGTAAACTATCTAAATCCAGTAAGGCTTTTGATTTAGCAGCGTTTCCAACTTGACATTAACTATGGGGCCAAATACTGACCTGTTACAGAGGCAATAATGCTGACTGGATTTTGATTATTTCAGTTCCTGTGCCACTAGTAAGTTACGTCCTCCTGTTATGCCTCTTTTTATATCATTCATGGAAAATTGTGTTTGAGTGTACTGCAAGTGATGGAAAAAAGGTAGAAGAGAAATTAGAGGAAAAGAGTGGTACTGAATAATTATTGAATCAGATGTGGTGTGACAGTATTTCCTAACTTCATGTCAACCCATATAGCAAGGCCAGATGATTTAAAGTTGGTTGTTTCAGTAACATACGTTATCTGATAATATACTGCTAGAGAAAGGGCTGACTTGTATAATTACTTTTAGACTATGACTTTAAAAGTGAGTAAGGCTATACAGGAAAGAAAAATCAGCTCTCAACATCTTCATTTCAATTGATAATTTTGGATCCAGTGTGGTGGGACTGTTTGTTTGCACAAGTGCAGATGCCAGCTCCCGATAAGAAAATGCCACATTCTGTAAGTTCCCAAAATTGGAAACCAGAGTTTGAACAGCAGCAGTGCAGCATGATTTGGTGCTCTCTCACCTGTGTGAGAGGCCTTGTGGCCGAGTCTGGCACCACTGTGATGATGGGAACAAGCACTTTGGCGTCAGAAAGGAGCCCAGGTGAGAATCTCAGTACGGGAGAGAAAGGAATCTAGAATCTAAACAATATATCTCAACCAAACATTTGAATCTTGCATCCTACAAATCAGGGCTACGAAGAGAGCAACATGGCCTGCTTTGAGTTTCACCTATTATTTTACTTTTCTACTCACTGGTCAGGAACACAATAGCCTAGCAAGTGACCAAGAGCTGGTACCAAAGGCCAGCCAGCTGCAGCTTCCTCCCTAAAAGTGAATAGATCTTCAACAGTGTAGCAGAGCTGGGGGCAGCAGCCAGGAAATGAGAGGGTGGGTTTTGGGTGAGCAAAGTCTTTGGCTTGCCTAAAAGTCGAGGGTGTCATTTGCAAATTATAGCATCTTTAAACAGTGGTTGGGGCCATATATGCAATTTTCATGTATTCGCATTTTAATGTATACCTAGTGGGAAAAAGTCATGCATCTCAACACCTGGAAAACTGGAAAATTTTTTTCCCCCAGACACCTACTTGTTCCTTTTGAAAAGTGCTAGGACTGGGAGGCCAACATTAAAAAAAAAAAAAAGAAGTTTCCCAGGAGATTCTAATTTAGGATCTTTGAGGACCACAATTCTACAGGAACAGGAACAGGAACAAGAATGAGTTAGAACTGAAAAATTACTTAAATCTTCTTGTCCATTTACCAAACAGGGATAAAACCCCTGCCCTCCCTACCTTATGAGAGTGAGCAGGTAACAGTAATTGTTCAGTGTTAGCTAGTATGTTCCAGACACTGTCAAAGAGCTGTACATGTAATAAACAATCCATCCCATTTTACAGAACAGAAACTGATTCAGAGAGGTTAAAGAACTTGCCCAAGGTCACACAGGTACAGCTTGGATTCAAGGATAGGCAGTTTGGTTCTAGAAATGTTTTTAACTTTTATAATGTTGTAAAGAATATAAAAAAAAAACATGAGGAAAGCATTTGAGTTTAAAGAGTTGGTGCCTTCAGCAGTCTTTGAATGAAGTTCACGGAGGGAAGTCTGCATCTAGGCAGCACTTGCTACATTTACAGCTGCCCACAAACAGCATCACTCAAGGGCCTGAAAATCTGATCTTTGCTTGTTTTTCTCAAATGCTAACTTTAGCCTACTGAAGTGCCAGAGATACACTGACTCCTGTGACAACTGAAAATGAAAGGTAGAACTCTTTGCAGGCCAGGTGCCTCACTCGGGGATTGGCACCCAGGTGATGAATAAATAATGTTGGTTGAATCGCACGCCTTCCAATCAAATGCATTTTGAAATGTGCTATTCATATTTCACAAATGGCTTGAATACACATTATTTAAAATGTCAGACAGGAAAAGGTATGCAGAAGTTAAGAACATTAGAGAGAAATGGAGTTTAAATGGAATATTAAACCTTTGAAATTCAAAAGAAAACCTGATTATATATCCTTGAAATCCTCTTTCCTGCTTTAGCAGGGAAGTGGGAGGGATCAACTTCTGGAATGGAACAAGCCCATTCTTTAATAATATAATGTTTCTCATTTGTGTTGTACATACTTGCTGCAGACATACTGATCTGAACAAGCTGCTATATACACTCAGCTGATTATTTTAAAGGCTGACTTTACATCATTCCTTAACAACCCCTACACTTTTTAGCATGCATTCAAATGTAGCTCAGAAATACAACAGGTTTTCTACCACTTCAGACAACAAACTGGGTCCTTTATAAACAAGTGGGGCTTTTATACTTGGCATCAGATCTAATGAGGTATCGGATTCACCTCATGTTCAATGAAATGCTGTGCTCAGCTTACCTATGACTTCCAACCAGTATCTAAAAAGCTAATGCATAATGCTGGTTTTTCCATAATCCCAAGAATTTAATGAGCAGCTCAGTCTGTGATGTGGCATGACTCAAACCAAGGGAACACAAAGGATCTCCTATGAAGACCTGGGTGAGAAGCAGTGAGGTCTGATGAGTAGGAGCTGGGCCTACATCCCGCCCTTTATAGAATGCTGAACAAAAGCCACTCGTGCTTCATTGCCATGAGGAGGCCAACACCGGTCAGCTTCTCCAGGGCAAGGCTCTTACCTGGCCTCTCTTCTGACACATGTCTGCATAATGCTGTGCATACTACCTAGTTGTGGAATGGATTCTCTGTGTGAGAGTACTTGGTCTTTGCTTTAAATGTGTGAAATGAAGTTCAGACCCTCTTGGGACTAAGGAAAGTAAAAAACAGACCTCAGCAGCAGTGTTGTCTGCTGTAACAGGCTCTCAAAGAGTGTATGTTGAATTGATGTGTCCTATACAAGATCATGGCCATAGGCTAATTTCAAGCTGGGGATTAAACACAGACACACACACTTAAGAGGTTATCTCTAGGCATTTATATTGTGCAGCTGGTGCTTTAAAAAAGTGCTTCTTCTACAAGGTGTCCTAAGAGTCTTTGTGAAGTTTTAACCTCTCAGTGCTGGGGATGGGGTGATGGGCTAAACATGTCCTCTGCCAGTCCAACAGGGAAAGCTACACATGGTTTTGATTTATCATCAGTTAAATGTGCAGCCCAGATCAGAGTCGAGACATTTTAAAGGACTAATTAGTCAACCCTCAAAAGTAAATTAAGGGCCTGTGTTCAAACAGCTGAAAGGAAAGTAACGCGGTATCATAGCAATAATGCTTAGAGTATATTGAAATGGAAAAGCTAGGGCTGGAAATACTTGTTTGGAAAAAGAATTTCATCACTCCGCCCTCCTTCATCAAGTAAATCCAAGCCACCTCAAAATGCCCAAGGTCTGACCAAGGAAGACACATTTTATTAAAGCCTCTTCCTGCTTGAACTAGATCATATTCTAGGGAATAAACAAACGTTATTCAATGAACAAGTAGAAGGGGTTCTTGATTTGTATAGACTGCTTCTCGGCTAATGCACAAAGCTCAGGAAGGACAGCAGGTAAGGTGAAAGGCTTTATTGCTTGGGCACAGCTCCGAGTATGACACTGACACAAGCTGGGATGATTATTATCTCATTATATTTGGCCTTCAGCGCCCATGTGAAGTCCTAGCTTTCCAAGTGGGCCACGCTCCACCCAGCAGACTCTCAGCACAGTTTCTGACAGTCACACTTACCCAATTTCACTCAGCAGAGCGGTCAGGAGATGTACAAGGATACAAAGAACAAATCATCTACTTTAGTTATATTTTCTTTTTATGGATTCTCTTCCCTGCTGGCTTTCCAAGCAACAGAGAGAGATATGGCATTATTGGCAGGTACTGGTCATAAATAACACCTTCCCACAGCCTAACATTAAAAAATAAAATACCAATTTTAAGCAGAGTTCCTAAAATTTAGTTAATGTCATGGTGTGCTTTGCTTTGAAAACAGTAATTTTATGGCTTCCCTTTATTTACTTTTCTCCTTGGACAAAACCATGGAGAATCCATGCTTAATCAACCTACATAGTTCTGATTGTTATAAGCTTAGCTTCTAAAATCAAAGGAATTAAAGAGTTACCATTAAGAATAGATTTTTGAATTATGGCCAAAATACAATAAAGTCTACACAGTCCTCAGAGATTTAGAACACAGAAAGTACATGGAGTTTTATGAGTCTACAAAGGGGAGAAATATAAAACAATGGTTCATTTCAAGATAACTGATGTGTAACTGCTGATTAAGGGAAGGGATGTTCAAGATATTTTGCACATTATTAACTTAAGAGTCAGCCTATACACTCTCCATATTAAATATCTAGAGAAAATTCTTGTGGCTCAGGGCTTCAAATAGAGGGTTATTGCTTATATGAAGAGAAGCCAAAAAATCAAGTTAAAGCCAAGATTTACTTTTTTAGGTTCTGGATTTTTTTAGGTTCTGATGGTTTATTTTTTCACAAGGTTGCAGCCCCTAGAACTGAGGACTGAATGCAAACCCAGGTTTCAGTGTATGACTATTGATTTTATAAACATCTTCTTCTAGTAAGTGGCAAAAATCATAACTTCTTATAGAACATGATGTTGGGTTGGTAACAGTAGATTGCTTGGTAAAAAATATGGGGACCTTAAATCTCACATAGGACATGAATTTGGGGGAAAAAAAGGCAAAGGTCTCTAGTGTTGTTCTCCTAGTTTCTCCAAAGAGTTGACATTCATCACTGGTTTTAAAACATGATTTTAACTTAAGAGATTATTTTAATACTGAATCAATATAAGTGTACTTATCTAAACATCAAATTTTTATGCATATTTAAAATCCCCCAAGAGTGTAGTGTAAAAATTATATATTTTAAATGAAGTGACATTTGTCTGAGGCAGCTCAGATCCAGGGGGTCTTTAGCAGTGGCCTTCACAGACATGCCTCCAGCTATGGCTGGGAGACACTTTCCACTGTGCATAGAAAGTCTCAGATTAACAAGAGACAAGTCTTGGTTTTTTTCCCCTCTATGAGCTGTGATGTCATTATTGTAGAGACGATGCATAATTTAAAAAATGAAGACTACTCATTCAAATTGTTAGAGTGACAAACCTACCTTATGGAATTTAAACACAGCATTCCTCCTGAGGAAGCTGTGTAGGCACACGGTGGTAGAACCAGAGTAGGTAAATATCAGAGTTGGAAGGGTTTTCTCTAAAAATTAAAAAACGGTAGCTGTCTTAAAGACCAGAGTTACATAATTACTCTGTTGTATTTTTTATCTTGTTTTAATGGCCCAAAGTTCAGTTAACTCACTCAGACAAGAATCTATAATTCTGTTGACTGTTCAGGACTACGGTAGTCATCCTGGGACTTTCTATGGAAGTATGTACAGATTTTCCTCATGGAGCTGGGAGTAATGGTGACCTAGAAGAAGAAAGTGCAGATTTCAGAGATTTTCTAAGATCAAGTCCAGCTGCTACCTCTGCAAGTTATATCACCAAATGGTACCTTAAGTTAGGATGCCTAGGAATTTGATAATTTAGTCAGCCGGCTTTCAGGCCCAAATACTTTGACGGCAATATCTCTTTTGCCTGATTTGTACTGAGTATAAGTAGAATTTAATAAACAGTATATAAGGAAGGCAGGCCTAGGTTTTTCCTGTGAACAGAAAATATCTACCAGTTTAACCTCCTAAAAGGAACCAAAGAGGTTACCATTCTCTTTGAAATAAATGAGTAAATCACCCTCCCAAATTTACAAATGAGGCAGGCAGCCGCTATCTGCTTCTGAAGAAGTCTACATCATCATGATGTACGTGAAGGAAAAAATTCTTTTAAAGAAACTTTGCTTCAAAGATTGAAATGATAAAACTGACATATCTAGGACAAACACACTATTTTTTAAAGTCTTGAAGATTTACACGTAAGTGAAAAATATTGTTCATTGAAATTCCTTTCTACTAACACCTAGTTGAGATCAGCTCCCCACAAACACAGAAATTTTAGTCAGGGGCAAAGAACAGAGACAGTGATAATTTTGAGAAAAGAACGAAAAGACTCCATATAGCTGTTTTTTCCTGTTCTTTAGCAAGGTGTTGGTTGGGGTTTGTGTTTGAAATCATCTTTAAAATATTCTTAGTTTATTTTTCCTAAAATTTTGAGAGAGGCATCATGATAGTAGGTAGGGGTTATTTATTAAACTAGAACTGGCCTAAGGTTATCCAGCTTCTGCCCTTTATCAGGTCAGGGGTTGCTGATCATGGCTTCAATCACTCTATCACCTTCTCCTTAACACAGAGAAAGAGCTACTATGAACTATGGCAGAAACTTCCTTCACTTGCAAACTATTAACAGAAGCTTTCAATGTCCTCTGACTGGCGCCATAGCTCACGTGATGCTCACAGCTGCGTTTACACCTTTAAAATGAGTCATTTGCTTTTCAAGGTTCACAGACCTATTTCTGCCAGGAATACCTGTTTTTGAAATTATCTAACTTAAATATGTCAACCAATGAACTATGAGTCTGAAAAGGTAAATAAAACTAAACTGAATGCTAAAAAAAAGGGTAGATATAAGTGAATTGCCAAAAATATTAGTGTGAGCAAGACTATGAAAGATTAGGGAAAAATCATAAAAACTCCTAAGTACTCTGCACTTAAGTTGCTTTGTAAGTTGAGTTTCACTTACTTTAAATAATTATAAACTATAATTACAAACTGGAAATCTATTTATGGATGCTGGTGACTTGCCATGAATAGCAGCTTTATCTATAAAAAGGTGAGACAATCTATAAAAAGTGGTTGCCAGGAGCTGGGGGTGGGGGAGGAGAAATTTAAAAAGAGGGAGGAAGAGGAATAATGTCAAGAAAGGGGTGGGAAGGTATTTTGGAACTGATATCCTAGAGGATGAGGACGGCTTTGATGATGGCAATGGGGTTGAAAGGTTTGGACCTTGACAGAAGAGATTTTAATGGGAGTAAATAGGGTTGCCAGATAAAGAACAGCACACACCCAGTTACATTTGAATTTCAAAAAATAACAACTTTTTTGTATAAAAAATTTTTAATATAATTCTATTCCATGCAATATTTGTCTGTATTTTTATGCGCTAAATCTGGCAACCCTAGGAATAAAAAGATTTACAAAAAAAAAAGCATCCTGAGAAGGGATCTGTGCCCACCCCCTTTAAGTCAGGGACTGTATCCTTCCACCACAGCTGACTTACCGGTCCCGGAGAGGTCTTTCCACTCTGTCTCCTGGAATTGGGGGTCTGGGACGATGGACTTCGTGGAGATGAATTCTCAGCCTTTCGTTTGGCTGCCATGGCCAATAACCAGTTTTTATTCTCTGGGGAGCTGTTCTCTTTGCCTACCATTTCAGACCCTTCTCCACAAGACCCCAGAGGAAGAGGTAGTGTCCCACAGGCTTCTGAAGCATAAGGACTGGCAGGAGAAGGAGGCTCTGAGACACTCATACTTGCCCCTTCCATCTTGCTTGGTTTGGTAGCACCTAGTGGGTCCTTAGCAAGGTCTTCCTGGTTACCAGTAAGGCAGCACAGATCTAAATGAAGCTTTTCACCTGGGTCGTCAAGCTCAGTCACACAGTTGCAACTCTTCACACACTTTTGTTTCACATTCTCCAGACAACTCGCGTCTAGCCTCCTTTTCACTCTATTTCTAGACTCAGAGCAAGCCACTGCTTGGGAAGATTTCAGGCTCACAGGAATGAGGGCTTTTCTTGGAGATGTGATCTTGGTTTCAGAAGCAGGTGGAGTGATGGGTGGTGATGAGGAAGGTGTCTGAGTCATCCAGTTTCTAATGGACATCTTGAAAGCTGAGGGTAGCTTGGGCGAGATGGAGGAGACAGAGCCCCTTCTGCTGATGGGAGACCGGGCCTTGGCAGGGGGTGTTTTAATAGAGAACGTGGGGGTATTTGAAGGAAGAGGGAGGTCTCCCGCACAGCTGGGAGCACAGGCTCCTGATGACGGGGAGGAAATGGATGGACTGCTCTTTACTCTGGGGGCTTTGGCGGGAGTGCTCTGGCTACTTGTCACGGTTGCTGAAAAAGAAAGAAGGTCATGCAAATCACAGAGAAAGCTACAGTAAAACCCTGCATTCTCAACAATGACAGTCACAGTCACTTAATCATCCATGGGCTGATTTTCTAGTGAGTAGATTACAAAAATTATTTGATTCTTACCATACCCCTTTAGCATTATCCCTCCCCTTTCCTAACTGCCACCCTCTGAATCATTCTGCTGTGAAACACATATTCACAAAAATCTAGAAAATACAGAAAAATGGAAAAAAAAAGCATCCAGGTAAACCACTTTCAGCATTTTTTCTTTACTTGTGCATGTGATATACATTATACACCTGAAATTTTCCTCTATAAAAATGAGACCATAATGTATATACTATTAATTAACCTGCTTAACATATTATTAACATTTCCCGTATTAATAAAGCTTCATATGATCACTTTTAATAGCTACAAAACAGTCTAAGGTAACAGTAAGTCATTGAGGTTGTTATTGACAGCTTGTTTTCCTACGTGAAGTTACCATCAGCACTTCTGTGCATATTTAGAGCAAGGCTAGAGGGCAGAGAGGCACTGCAGAGGTTCCCTCCCAGGCAAGAATGCTGGTCTGAAATCTGGCACAATCACTTACTGTGTGACTTGAGTACTACCCTCTACTTCCTCTACCTCAGCTTCCATGTCTGTTAAATAGAGATTGTTTTTAATTTCCACAAGAAGTGATTTCGTCAATTACTTGTAAGATTATTGGACTTGATGTGGCTTTCCACCTTAATTTACAAGCGGCTACTATTTCACACAAGCCAAAGAACATTTCACGACCTCAGTGCTCCTGTTCTGTAAAGCAAATCAAACAGTGGATATAAAACGCGTCTCTGTGTGTCCTGTTCCTTGTTACCGGCAATGGCGAGTACTTCGGGCAAATTTTTATAAACTTCATGCATCTTCCCCCTCAGGCACCTCCAGACAACACTGTATTTTCTCACTTTCCTTCTGAGTGTTCTAGATTTCTGATTTTGTTCTACAAAGAAGGGCATCTATTTATTTCTCAGGCACAAAGTTTTTAAATTAAAACTCTGATATTTAATTCAGTTTAGTTATTGAATTGCATTTACATGTAACTGAATTTAGGACTGGTTAACATAAAAATACAATCTCTTTTATCTAGAGTAATGGTTTTCAAGTACTGTTTTCAGTCACGTAGTTATCTTGTACATTTTACCCTGTGCTTTTCACTAATCAAACAGCCTTGCCTTGAGCCAGAGAAATTCTACCAATTGACTTTTGCCTGAACTTTTCTCATCAACCGTTGTTTAGAAATGGCCAAAATAATGCTGCTCCTTCAATAAAGATCATTACTGGAAAACTCCACTTTGTCATAGTGTCCTATAGAAGGGCAGTTAGTGACAGGGACCTGTCCACAGAGTGTCTGGTGATAGTTCTCACACTCACGTTTTAGAGCTTGATTACTGTTACAATGTCAGGAGGAAAGAAACTTCATTTGCTTTATTTCTCAGACCAGGTCAACAGTCACTGCCCAGCCTCTGCAGTTAGTGGCTCCAGTAGAGTGGGTGGAAAGGTACATTTAGGGCAGAAAGTCCTAAGTAGTCTAGGTCTTACAACTTAGTGCAATTCTAAGGCAGGATTAGAGGAAAAGGAAAAGAAGGACCAGAGAGAAAGCAGATCTTTAAGGTTCTGGTAACTTGAGACATTTGAAATTTTTACAAAAAGGCAATGGGAAATCAGATGTGGTGGAAAGTTGGAGCATTTCCTCTTCCTTCAGGATGTTATAATGTGGGTCTTTGAATTTTTGTTAACTTTGAAGGTTAACAAAACTTTGGGCTGAATTTAAATCTTTACTTTCTTTCTTTGAAAATAGCAATTGCGTTATAAAAGTAATAAAATTTCCTGGTAATAAAAATTCAAAAAGTACATAACATTTCAAAAAGCAATAAAAATTCAATTATAAAGAATAGGGTGAAAAGTAAAAAGTTCTCTCTTCAACCTACTCATTTCACTTTTATGTTCCTGTGCATTCCACAATTTTCTTCATGTCTATTAGCACACCAAAGGTATATGTATATCATACCTTGAAAAGGATTATTTTATACACATACAGGTTCTGCCATTTGCTCTTTTCTATGAACAGTGTTATCTTTTCTCTTTATATCTCTTTACCGAAGTATATTTAGATGTACCTCATTCTTTTTAACACCTGTACCTCACTATATTGCTCTATAGATTTACATACAACAAGCCATTTAGTACTTCATCTACCTATCGGCCCAAAGCACTGCGTGAATTTGATGACATGGTAGAACTGATGGGGTTACTGCCCTACAGGCTTCCTTAAAGTCAGTCCCTTGGAGGAAGTACAGAGAGCTTACTAACCATCAGTCAAATTGAAGCTTCTTTCTATATAAGGGTTTGCCATCTGGCCGTGCCCTACCTTTTCAGTTGCATCCCATACTTTGCTACTTTAGGATCCTGTTATAGGGGGCTACTCACGGCTTCTTGAACAAGCTGTGCACTGCCACATCTCTGTTTTTGCTCATGTGTTTATCTCACCAAGTCTGTCCCTTTTTTAACAGGGAAAAGTTCTCGTTTCCAGGTTTTGATGACAATGACAACTTCACTGTGAAGAATTCACAAACTTCTTTCCTCCTCTCCCTTAGAGCATTTTTCCACCACAGGAAGCAAGTTCTTTAAGCCTTTTCTCTATACGACCAGAGAAATGTTTTCCAATGTACTATACTTTGCATCTGCCTCCTGAACTAGGCTGTGTGCACTTAAAGAGGGAGGGTGATGATGTACTCATTTTTAGGCCTAGCGCCCCTGTAGTACCCAGCAAGGAACTATTAAACGTTTGTTAAATTTCTTAACTGCTGAGAGGAATGAGAGTGAGGTTCCAGGCATCAAAAAATAGACTGTAAGTATTCTGCTGACTTGTGAAGCTACAGCAAGCACTTGAGATAGAACAGTAAGGTTTCCTTCTCTTTAAGATGTGGATAATCATCTTTGTTGCTCAATAATGCTTAGACCAGAGGTTCTCAATCCTGACTGTATACCAGACTTGACTTGGAGCTTTATAAAAATATAGGTACTTGGCCCCCACCCAAGACCTTCTGAACAATCTCTGGGGACTCACAAACTTTTAAAAAGCTACACAAGTGATTCTGATACACAGCCAGTGTTAAAAACCATTGGCCTCGACGCGCTAGGAGATTTCTGGCTGAAACAGTGAAAGAATAGTAAGTGATACAACAGGTGCTGGCTGGGAAAAGTAGGGCAGAGGGAAAAGGGGCTGAGTCTTAAGCCTTCCAGCTGGTGTGTTAAAAGCGCCAGAAAAGAAGATATACAGCCCAGGACAGCAAAGAAGAGTTGGGGTAGCAATCAGGAACTTGGGAAAGCAGAGGAACATAATTTTCAAATTGTAGTGAGATTAGCATCAGGCAATCTGTTGCTGGAAGCTGGCTTATGAGGCCACATAACCAGTGTGTCAGCCTTTGGCACTCACATCAGATTGTTGCCCTGTAGTGCTTGCTCTTCAGAGTTAACTGTAGCACTGCCCAGAAATGGAGGAATCTAGGCATAATGTCTGGTCTCATCTAACCTTAACTTTACTTTGCTGTGTTGGGCTCTAAAGGACACAGTACCGCACAATGCTTTCCAGCATGTGCTCTAGGTTCCGACTGCAAGCCTTTGAACTCTGGTCCTACAACTTCATAGCTGCGTGATCTAACTTCCCAGAACTTTAGTTTCAGCTGTTTGGGGAATTAAATGACATAACCCAAGTAGGTCCCTAGAACAATTGTAATAGTATTCAATAATGGCTAAATGTTTTTGTTATTATTACAGTCCCAATGTGGTCAACGTATGTAACTTTTTTTGTAACTTAGCCTCTATAACTAAGAATAAATAATGATACACTAAAAGTACCCAGTTAAAAGCTACATTTTTCATCAAAAATCTTAAAATGGTTATAGTCTTTAAACAAAGACATTCCATCTCTGGGAATCTACTTTAATGGTAGGAGGGAATACCCTAAACTCAGAATTATTTCCGCCCCCCCCACAATATAGGAAACAAAATGTCCAACTATAAGACAATAACTAGGTAAACTATCGAACATTTACTCAGTCGATTGTGTAAATGTTTTGCTATAAACATAACAAAGTGCTCAGAACATCATGTTTAGTGAAAAAAATACCCAAGAAATCTAAATGTATATACATTATAACTATGATTCTATTAACAAACTCTATGGATAAGGGGGACAAAATCTCAAAAAATAATTCACAAAGTTCATTAAAATTATTAATGAATGGTAGAGATACTGATGGATTTTCCCTCATATGATTCTTCTTCTTTATGTTTTCCAAAATTAAGGAGACAAAAGTACACACAAAAACAAGAGAGCATATAGACATCCCATGTTCATAGATCAGAAGACTTCATATTATTAACATGGCAATACTCTCAGAACTGATATACAGATTCAACACAATCCCTATCAATATTCTAGCTGGATTTTTTGCAGAAATTGACAAGCTGGTCCTAAAAGTTGTATAGAAATATTAAAGACTCAGAATAGTCAAAACTGAATGTCAATGTTGTAAAAGAAGAAAAAAACAGGAGGATTCAGACTTTCCAATTTCAAAATCTACTACAAGGCTACAATAATCACGACAATGAGGAACTGGAGAGACACAGATCAATGCAATAGAATTGAGGGTCCTTATATTATAGCCAAGTAATTTTTGGCAAGGATGACAAAATGATTTAATGGGTTAAAGAATAGTCTCTAAAAAAATGATACTGAGAAAACTAGACATCCATGTGCAAAAGAATGAATTTAGATCTTTATCTCACATTGAACACAAAAATAAACACAAAATAGATTGTACCCCTAAAACTAAAATGCTATGGGAAGAAAACAGGAGTAAATCTTTATGAACTTGGGTTAGGCAATGGCTTGTTAGATACATTAAAAGCACAAAGGACAAAAGAAAAAACAGATAAACTGGACTTCAGCAAAATTAGAAAAATCTGTCTAAGGATACCATCAAGAAAGTGAAAAGATGACCTACAGATTAAGAGAAAATATTTGCATACCACTGTAAGACAAGGGATTTATACTCAGAATATTAAAAAAAGGCTTACAACTCAACAATAAAAAGACAACCCAATGAAAATATGGGCAAAGGATCTGCATAGACACTTCTCCAAAGAAAATATACAAATGGCCACTAAGCACGTGAAAAGATGCTCATCATTAGTTATCAGGGAAATGTAAATCAAAACCACAATGGGATACCATTTCAGTCTCACTAGGATGGCTATAATAAAAAAGATGAGCAATAACATGTGTAGGTAAGGATGTGGAGATATTGGAATTCTCATTTTGGGTGTTGAAAATATTCTAGAATTAGATTGTGCTGATTATGCCCAACTCTAAATGTACTAAATACCACCGAATTACATACAGATGGTCCTCAACCTATGATGGTTTGAATTATGATTTTTTTAACTTCATGATGGTGCAAAAGTGATACACATTTCATGGAAACCATGCTTTGAATTTTGAATTTTTATCTTTTCCTGGGCTAGTGATATGCAGTACAATACTCTCTTGTGGTGCTGGGCAGGAGTGAACCAGGGCTCCCAGTCAGCCACATCATCATAAAGGTAAACAAACAGATGCACTGACAACCATTCTGTTTTTCACTTTCAGTAGAGTATTCAGTTAATTACATGAGATATTCAATGCTTTACTATAAAATAGGTTTTCTGTTAGAAGATTTTCCCCAACTGCAGGTTAATATAAGTGTTCTGAGCATGTTTAAGGTAGGCTAGGCTGAGCTATGATGTTTGGTAGGTTGGGCATTATATGCATTTCCAACTTAAAATATTTTCAATTTGTGGAGGGTCTATCAGCACAGAATCCCACTGTAAGCCAAGGAAGATCTGTACTCTAAATGGGTGCATTTATGGTATGTGACTATCTCTTGAAAAATCTCTAAAAAAAGCCTCGAGGGGAAAAAAACACAGAAAATAAAAGCTAACAGCAATTTACCAAATAGCTCAATTCCAGATAGAAAATACCACCAATGCCACCACCACCACCATCTTCCTCCTCCTCCTAACTCATGATCTAACCAAAATTATAACCTGTACTGGGAAGATAGGGGAGTGGGGAGTATGTTGAGGTTTGGTAGCAGTGAGAACACAGGAAAGAGACCCAAATCCTCATCTCACAAAGTAAGAAGTCAATAGATAATGTCAAAAACTGCAAAAACAAACCACCCCCAAACAAAAAAGAAAAAAAATGCACAAATATTATTTAGAAACAAGACATACAAACCAAAGAATCAGCTAAAAGATTTGAAAGTGGTTGCCCGAGGGAAAGGGCAACTGTCGGGCAGGATGTCTGGAGACTGCTATTTATCTTATGTACCCCATAGCGACTTGTTAAATATTATATGACACTAATAAAAAATTAAAAGAAAGCAAAAACCAAAAACCAAAAATAAAGGCATGGAATACTTCACTGAAGCAAGACTCTTGAGTCTAATTGTATTTACAATATCTTATAAGAGACTAAAGGAGGAAGTCATGGAAAAATTAGTACATATTCTGTCTCACCTTCACCTTTACCATGTCTCAGCTCCCCATTACCTTAGGCCTTTATGGCTAATGTAAAAACGAATCTTTAAACTTGAATTTCAAACTTATTACTGCATATCTATTGATGACATTAGCAGCCTCTTTGGTTGGCTCAGTACTTGGAAGATTTTGCTCTTGGTCCACTGTCACTTCTTCAATATCATCTTGTCAATTCATGGTTATTACTAAATCCACATACATGATCTCTCCAATACCTTGGTTTCTCAGTTTCTTGACCACCTTCTTCTATCACAGCCTTGTTCTTTCACTCACTTAAACCAATTATCCCTTGGCCTTATTTTTATCAATATCTGAAAATACTCCATTATCTCAATTTCAGTCAGCACTTATTTTCCCAGCTCCCTTCAGAGTTCTAATTCCAACAATCCTTCACCCCAGAGGCTCTTCAATTCACTGATCTCATCATTTCACCTCAGTCCCACTGTATCCTCAGTTCCCTCCTTACCCAGTTTAAATCCCATAGTCAATCATCATAGTCATCCTCTCATATTAAACCTCCTCTCACTTCATCATACTTGTAGATTTAAACCACGTCCCTGGTTAAATCCAACTCTCCACTTACAGTGGACTGTACCTGGGCAGCAGACACACAGCTGTGCAGACAGCTCGCCTTTAGTTCATGATAGCCAGCCTCAAGGTGACTCACTGCAACCATCATTTCCTGTTCATTCTTCTCTTCTCTACACGGCCATTTCAGGCTTTTACCTCTCTTCAAATCTCTACCACCTCCTCCCTCATCCTTATTCTCAGTTAATGATATCAATTCCCATCTCACTAAGAAAAAAGAAGCTATCAGAAGGAAACTTCCATCAATTCTGACCATCCCATCTATCCACGTATCTTCACGTGCACATATATCCTGCCTTCTCTCCAATTACTATGGGTGAACTATCCGTGCTCTTGGCAAGGCCTATGTGTGTATTAGACGTCATCCCTTCACACTTACTTAAAGACATTGCTCCAGCAAACGTCCCTGTATCAGTTTTCCCTGCCTCTCTAGGGCCCTTCCAATCACAGACAAAATGCTATATTCTCACAAAACAAAAAAGAACTTCAACACTGCTTCTTCCTTCAGCTGTCACTTCATTTCTCTTTTCCTTTCTAGCAAAACTCCTTGAAAGAGCATTCTATACTGCAGTCTCCCCTTTCTTTTCCCACCCTCCTGAACACCACCAATCTGACTACTGACACTCCCCCAGAGCTGCTCTCATCTCTTCTCTCTTACGAAGTAAGCCCCACATTGCCAAATCCAAAGGCCAGTTTTTAGCCTTTTTGTGGCACACCAAAAACATATGACCAAATTCATCCTTCTCTCTTTTTATTTACTTGGCATCCAGGGCACAATACTCTCCTAGTTTTTCTCTTTCTTGTCTGGTTATGCCTGCTTCTTCACCTCTCCAACCTCTAAGTTCCAAGGCTCAGACCCCAGACCCATTCTCTTTACTATCTATAGCTACCTTCACTTACAGATGATGAATCCCAAATTTACACTTCAGCCCTGAGCTGCTGAATTAAACATCTAATTGCCTCTGACACCTCCACTTACATGTCTACCAATCATATTAAAATAATATTCCCAAATGGAACTTCAGCTATTTCTTCCCAAACCTGCTCCTACTGTAGTGATTCCTATCTAGGTTACCGGCTACTCCATTCTCTAGCTTCTTACCTCCCAAACTCTGAAGTCACCCTTTATAACTCTCCCTTACATCTCACATCTGATTCTATAGCATATCCTGTTAGCTCTATCCTTTTAAATATATCCTTACTTTGAAGACTTCCTATACTATTTTCTGCTAACACTCTGGTTCAAGTCACCATCATTGCTTCCAGGATTATTTCAATGGATTTAAAATTTAAAAATTTCCTGCTTTTATCCTGATTTCTTTGTAATTGTTTTCAATACAGGAGTAAGAATCATCAAAACCTCAACGGCTTTTTGTCTGAATCAATGCCCATCATACAGGAACCTCATTGTCCACGACTGTTCTCCTCCCTCTCCTTTGCCGGCTCCAGCCACATCAGCCTCTGAGGAACAGAAAGTGTGTCAGGCCTGCTCCTGCTTCAGGCCCTTTGCACTTGCTGTTTTGTCTGCCTGAAATATTCTCCAAAATATCCACATGGCTCACTACTTCACCTTCTTTATTCAAATGCCGTATTTCAACGGGGCCTCCCCTGGGCTCCCAATTTAAAATTTGAACAACACACTTTGCCATTCTCCTTTTCCTGCTTTCCTTTTTTTCTCAAGCACTTATTGTTCCCTCATGTAGTATATATTTTACTTCTTTAACTTATCAACTCACATTAATATGTAAGATTCATTTACATGTTTGGGAGTTTTGCTGAATCCCCAGCAACTTAGAACAGTAGGTGTTTAATAAATGTTTACAAAATAAATCTACCACTGTATTCCAGAGCTTTGTGTATGATAAACCCAGTGGTGCTCAGGAAATACTGAAAAGAATGAATGTCAAGATGGTGCTTTCCTTTAAAAATATACCAAAACAAGATTCAAATCTAGTTTATCACTCTGTACTGAAGAACTAAACCAGTCAAACCATAAACAACTTAGAAAAATGCATGGGATCCTTACCTAAGTCGGCTCTGGCCTCCTTTTTCTTCTGAGAGGCCCAACCCACTATGGAGAATTTATCTCCTCCTGTTTTCTCCTCTGAGCCTCTATTCAAGCGCCAGAGTTTCAGGGTATTGTCATCAGAGCAGGTGGCAATCTAAAAAGAATCAGGAAAGGAATTAAGAAGTTTCCACCAAAGATTTATAGTAAAGTAAAAAGTAGATCTTAAGGCATCACTTCTGAAGAATTATTCTATCTGATAAAATAGGCTATAGAAAATGATATCTGAAAGATCATATACTTCTATTCCTTGCTTTCAGGAATCATTCTAAATTTCCAAAGAAGTGGATCCTCTAATTTCTTCTTTATATACATTCTACTGGTATGTCTTTTGTTACCAGTTATCTTACCTAACCTCTACTATAAAGCCAGATTCATTTTATGTTATTCTCAAGACGTTGGGCAAGTCATAATCTTTATCACCTTCTATGAAACTATGAAATCTATAATTAAGATACCTTTTTTACTTTCTCTTACATGATCAATCAATGCATATTACTGACATTCAATATCTATGAGCTTCTTCTGAATTTTGCATGTTCTGACTTATTTCTGAAGAAATGGGATTATTCCAAGATCAGATTCATCTATTACTCTAGTAGGCTGTGACAAGTAGAATGAAACCATTCCTTTGAGATTCTTTTTCAGATAGGTAAAGGAGCAGTCTGGGAAAACAACAAGTTCACTAGGCTGAAAGAAGTTAAAAATAACCTTTGCCCCTTTAAAAATATCTGACCATTCCTGATCTTGGTCTCAAGCCTTTTATGGCAGAGAAAGTCCAGCTGGAAGAGCTTGTGGCAAATGGCCACTGGTACCAGAGCTGTTCCCCAGCATTTGTTTATATAATTTCTCTATTTCAGTCACTAAAGAGAGAGAGAAAAAAGAACACATACTCTGAGTATTGGCCCCCAAGAGACTGGCAGCTTTTTCCTTTCCTTACTGGGAGGCCAAAAGAAGACACACATATTTAAGTTCTCAAACAAAAAATGCCTGGAATCCCCAGGTACTCTATAGTCTATTAATAAGAGTTCTTATTTACAGAGCACCTATTATGTGTCTGACAATTTACATTCTTTATCTTAGTTAACTCTCACAATATAATGAGACATGTACACAAATAACCTCATTGATAAAATGGTAACAAAGTTATGTGCCCAAGGTCACTACAATTAAGTGGCATGGCTAGAACTAAAATCCAAGTTTTCCCAATTTTATAAGCTAGATCATTTTTTTCATAAACCATATTTTATCTTCCTAATTCTAGGCTAGTGACAAAATTATTTTAAAGAACATTTTAAAAAGGTGGTCATTAGATTAGTATAGGTAAATGGCCATGCCACTTCCTTTGAGTCTTTTCTGTGCAGAGATAAGGACAATATACAATGGTTGAAAAAAGATGACATAATTAACTGAATAACTTTTTAAACCTTCATTTTAGTTAAGTTCTATGAAGATACAAAACTCCATGTTAAACGTAGTTATTTCACTGGAAGTTACATGGAATCTCAGAGTAAAAAATGTTATTGGAATGTAATTATTGGTGATTAAATCAACGATTTCATAAAGGCCTATTATGAAAGTGAGCATGGAAATAGTTATACAGGAATACAGAAATCAGAAGAAATCCATAGCTGGAAAGCTAGCAGGGATGCCATTAGGGGGACAGATCATGAGAAGTTTCTGGAAGATAGGCAGATGGGAACAACAGGCAACAAAGTTCAAAGCATCATACATGAAAGGGGAGATCTCCACAGAAGTGCCATTTCCTACAAATAGAGAATAACCCAAAGACCAGAGGCAGCAGAGTCTGGGAGAGTGAGTGTAACTTGGGCTACTATTATATGAAGCCTCTGCATGTACATGGAGTTTATGTTTCTGGACTACATTTCAGATTTTTGTTTGTTTTATGTATCACTATTGAAAAAAATTTTTTTGTAAGTGAGCATATTTTCTTCTTTTCAGAGTGTCTAAAACATTTTGGAGCTACTTCTGTGTAGTTTAGCCACAGATAACCTAACATGTTAAGACTTCACAGAAAGCATTTTTATGCACGTGAGAACCTGGACTGGATTGTGAAGAACAGTCAAGATGTTACCTATAATAATTGATAATATGTAGAAAGCTAGAAAGACTAATTTTTCCATTAGATTTTCTTTTTACCTGAGATTTTAAGATGAAATCTATGTTTAACAAAGGAGGGAGGGATTTTGGGGGGTCTAACAAATCCATCCTTATTCCTTAGTGCATAATACAGTTTCTCTCTTTGTAGAGAAAAGCAAAGTTATGTATGACTAATGATGATAAAGGCCCTGGTTGGCCTCTAGATCTTTTAAACCTGTATTTAAACATGAAAGTCTATATAACTCTCAAACTAACTTTGGGAAAACCTACAAAACAGTGATCTAATTTTTAAAACAACAGATTTTTTTACAAACCTTTGTGAAGTCTGCAGGACACCAGCACACTGATGTGACCTCTTGAGAATGACCCTGGAGCACAGTAGGAGGACAGGAGGGTGTGGAGACCTAGGTGCCATCAAAGAAACAAGCAAGTCAGCAGAGCAGTGTCAGACCTCCCAGATAAAGGCTTTGAATCTCTCCGTATTTGCTCCCTGGAGAGCTTTTGGATTGTTAACAAAGGCCCCCAGACATGCCTAGTTCTAGCTCAGAAAAAGAGTCCCAATCAGCAATGAAAGTATTTTTGTCACTGATCTGAAAAAACAGAAAGAAAACAGACAAAGAAAGCAAATAATGTGAGCTTAGAAATCAGGATAAGTCTTATCTCAAATCAGGACTACCTAGCTATACATATTCTGACTAGAATTCAAGACTGACATTGTCCCTCACCTCTTAGCTGCTAGACTTTCTGGAAGGATTCACTTCAGCTGCTGCATAGTACATTTCTAGTAGAGTCCTCCTTTTACATAGCCTAGACATTTTCAGATCTTCTCTAGTCAGCTACTTCCAGAAACTAAATCCTCAAGGTACCTGAGACATGCTACCAGCTCTCTTGAGACAAGAGGATGATAGTCTTTCTTCCAAACGACTGACTTTTACCAAAGTTATACACCTTCATGTATAAAAAATATTTTACAAGGCACTCTGGTATCCTTTTTGGAAAAATAATTCCTCTAAAATTTCATTTCAGTTCATTAGCTTAAAGAAATCTTAGGTCTTCAAGTTAAATATTGCCACATTTTACTAATTTTAATGTATAAAGAAGGGTCACATTGTGCAGTACTATAGATGTGACTAAGAATATTTTCCCCCTCATTGGATGTCACTAGTGATATGCATTTGACAGCTGACTAATTCAAAAGCTGTCAATCCCTTTCAGAGGCCATGGGAATTAATCAGCACAATATGGGGAGTACAAACTCAAATAACTATTATTAGCACATGCATTTGAAAAAGAGAAATTATTCTCTTTTCATTTTCTTGAGGCTCTGAATCATTGATCATTTATATGAAGAAAGTGGAGGTGACGCTGGAAAGAATATTTATGAGAATGACTAAGTAAACTTAATAGATTCCTCAGATTATAGTTAAGAGATCTGACACATTGATTTATAAGGTTATCCAACTCAATTATTACTCCTCCTCTCTTGGGTTACAAGGCACATATATAATGATTCAAAAAGCAAAAGTACACAAAGAACAGAGTCTAATTTACCTTGGTGGCCTAATTAAAGTCTAACAGAAGGAAGTTTTTCCTGAGTATTATCTAAAAGGGCCTCACTTACTGTTTAGTCCTACAATCCTGAGAACAGTAACACAGACAGCACAGTCCAGCAAAGGGATTCAGGATGCTCTCTAACTATCTCGGCAGTCACGGAAATTCTCCTTCATCCTCCTTTGGGATGGCCTGGCCCACTAAGTTTCTTTTCACCCAAGACCCACCCAGGGCTGGTAGCAAGTTAAAAGGAAGAGGAAATCCTCATGCCCCTCAGCCCTCTCTGGTAGAAACACATTATTTACTCCCCTGGTTACTCTATGCATTGACTCTAGCTGTCATTTCGTGATACTGCTCCTTCCTCATTACGATACCTAGAATAACCTAACTGTGTACACAAAGGATTAAAATAAATTTCAAGAAAAAAATGCATGTATGTTTCTGCATTTATCTATAGGACCTAAGATTAAAAACAAAGGATAGACCCTTTGGAAAACTTTTTTACAATTTGATAATGAAGTAGGAATAAAAATGACAAAAAAAGTCAGTATTTGTTAAGCCTGGCACTTTATATAGCATTAGAGGTAGAGGGAAGGTTCCTCACAAAGGTAAACACAGAATTGCCATATGACCCAGAAATTCTACCATTAGGTATATACACCCAGAAGAACTGAAAACATGTTCAAATAAACACTCATACATGAATATTCGTGGTAGCTTTATTCATAAACCAAAAAGTGGCATAATGCCCCTTAACTAATGAATGGAAAAATAAAACGTGGTCTGACCATGGAATATTTAGCTATAAAAAGGAATAAAGTATTACTTATACATGTAAGAACATGGACAAACCTTAAAGACATGTGGTTAGTCAAAGAAGCCAGACATAAAAGAGCATACATTGTATGATTCCATTTATAGGAAATGTCCAGAATGGACAAATCCACAGAGACAGAATATAGGTTATGTGGTTGCCAGGGACTGGGAAAAATGGGGAATGGAGAATGACTCTTAAATGGTATGGGGTTTGTTTTTAGAATGATGAAAATGTTTGGGAATGAGATAGTGGTGATGGTTGCATAATACTGTGATTATACTCAAAACACTGCATCGTACACTTTAAAATGACTAAAAAGCCGAATTGTATATTAAATGAATTATATGCTAACAAAAAAAATGGAGGGATGTGCATGTTGTGTACTGAAACAAGAACTAATGTCCAACACATTTTTATGAACATAAGTTACGTGTTTTCAGTTTAGAACTATCCTACTATGGTACAGTGCACTCAGGGACTATGTCAAGAAAGACTAATTTCCTATAGTGAAACTCTGGTGGCTTTTAAATCCTTCATTTTTATTCAAAAAAACTTAACATTTTGTTATTACAAAACCATTACCAAAATTACATTATTTCATTTTTTAAAAAGTCTCCCTTGACTTTTAAATTATTTTACTGTCATATTATTATTCTTATTTTATTATCAAATTTCTACTTTAAGGAAGAGAAGACTATTAAATCCAAGAGACATTTACGTCTATGCAATTCTGGGGATGGTCAAAACACAGAAAATTGTTTTCTCTTATATATTCTAGTTGTTATAGAATAAAGATCTTAATTCAAGGTATGAAGAATACCAAAGTTAAAACTCCCAGACCTATGACAGTACCTCTGGAAGAACTGGCTCTGATCTACAGATGTCATGAAGGATTTTGTATACTTAAACCAGCAAGAAAAGATCAGCACCTTTCCTTAAAAAAAAAACAAACAAACTCCTTACTCTGTCCAGTTGGAAACCAAATCTAACCTTTGTTTCTGCCATGAGATCATTTACACTTCCTAAAGTGTCAGGCTCAATGTTTTGCCAGTCAGTGGTAGAATAACTGCCAAATCAGTTTATTTATAACTGCTTCAATTCTATTCAGTGGCTGTATCAAAAATGAACCAGGAAGGAGGGGGTTGGGCTGGGGATGTGACATTGGGTAGTAAATTTAAAAGAAAAAATATAATAGCAATTAAAAAAATTTTTTAAGTTTTGGACCCCCTATTAGAGAATCTAACTATATTATATCTCCCCTTTGCTGGACAGTGGTAAGAATTAAAAGGCCATTCTTTCCTGTCTTAAGATCTGAAACTCCCTTCTTTTACTATGTTTCTTGTGCCCATGGGCTTTTTATTTAGCCCAGGAAAAATACCAATACTTGAGAGAATTCTGACCTCTTGGAAACACCGCAGTGAGTTGTAAGACAGCCTAACAGTTTGGAAACTCAGCTTGCATGGAATTGTTCTTAAACTCCTTCCCACTCTGCCCCCCTCTTTTTTTATCATGGAAAAGAGAAACTGAGCCACCTCACCGGGCGAATTCAATTTTAGGAGCAGTAAGCTGGCCAGTATCTCAAATATCAGAGCCTGCACACTGAGTTACGTGTGGACAGGCAGGAGAACATCATGTCTGAACCACATCATTCAGCATTGACGTGTGACCCAGCCTAGGAATTCAGAAAAGGTCACCCATGTAAGTGACAGCCACTGACTCGATGTCTGAAAATGGGTTACTAACAACAGCCAAGTATCTTTACAGTGTGTCTTTAAAGAGAGGAAGTATCCCTCAATTCTCATTCCCTGAAACAACAGAAAAAGGCCTTTGTACCAGAGAAGAAGACTAGGGAGGAACTTTTAAGAACTGGCAATAAAACTCTATCTACATATATATACACATACATATATAACATTCATAACTATATATACATAATCATAAGATAATTAAGAAACTGATTTTTAAAAATGATCAGTACATTAAGTATTTCTTGCATAATCCTTTATTATACTTTTTGGTATGCCTGATTTTTTTTTTTT